GGGGGGGGGGGGGGGGGTTGATGAACAATGATCCATAGAGACAAAAAATACATGACCAAAACAACAGAGATTGGAGAGTCAGTCGGCCACTGTCTATTTCCTTTAACTGTGAAATATGCTAAGATACATTACACCTAATTGATCTCATTTACATCTATCCAAATTATTATGAAAACTGATACAAGCTTGAAGAACTCTAGAAATGAAGTTACCATTACAACAAACGAACATGGACTGGAAATAGTGCAACAAAATCTAAGCTGGGATTGGTAACGGCCCGCCACCGCGGAAATCCTTTGAAGCCAGCAGCTTTTCAGGAAGAAGTTCTCATTTACAAATGTCACCAAGAATTTTCAGAACGGTACTAGAAGAAAGTTGGTGTTACTTGTTACTCCCGGGGACGGGCAAGCCAGAGAGAGCTAAGTGCTCGAAGTCGAGAGAAATAATCACTAATGGCAAGAAGAGCACGAGCTGATTGGCGAGTTGTCAATACGCGATGCATTTGCTGCAGTGTCTGTTGTCGTAGGTTATCAGCCTGACATTTAAAACTTTACAGGTCAGTCTTTTGTATGCGAGGGAAAACTTCCAACATGTACTCAAAACAACAACTACGGATCAATACCAACCAAGTTGGGGCAGCTATATGAATTTTCACCGATCAAGTCGCTCCATTTAAGCTCATCTCAAACCAATACTTTACAAAAATAAAAATAAAAATAAAAAGCAATAGAATTTCAGTATATTTTCTAACGGCACCAACATGTACTCAAACATGCAGATAAACATTTGCATAAATGGCAGCTTATGCATGCAATTTACCATCCAACCCAACTAAACTGCTGCATTTCAAAACATAAATGTTATGGAGAGCATCTCTAAGGCAATGCAAGGTTATACAACATAAAACAGATCTTCTTTTCTTTCTGGAATTTGTCACCTACCTAGCAAAGTTTGCAAACCTCACTTGGTCTTAACCTTTTCAACCATAACTATTAGCACCATGCTAATAATAGTGCAGTTTTCCAATTGGTATGCCCAGTGCTGAGTTGTCTCTGATTTGTCACTATAAAATCAAGAGTAGAAAAGGGCGAGAAGTTCTGAAACTTTATACTAAGGAAAACACGGTCGATCAAATATGATGCCCGAAAACCCCTCATACATCCTCTCTATCTTCGGCACATGCAAAAAAAAAACACAAGGACCAAAAATCTTCAGCAACTTGGGAGCATCTTTTAGGTAAGAAACACAGCCAAGCAACTATAAGAGAGAGAGAACTACAGTTGCTTTAACTCCATTCTTTGTTTCCTACTTATTCTCATCAGGAAAACAATATCAAAACATAGAAGAAAAAAAGGAAAAAAAAAATGATGGAAACGAATAAGTAGATCAATATTGTTTTTACACAAAACGAAGCTAGGATGAAAGTTTTACCCTCAATAAAGTCCCAAGGCACTATGTGCCATTCAGTAAGCTATTAATGATCTCAAAGAAGTGCAAATAACAAGGTCTGACGGCAAATACTTCAGACCACTACTTTAAAATACCAACACAAGACACCTCTACCTCAACTAGGTACCTATTTTGAACTCATCCACGAGTATACTTATGCAACCTCTAAAGATTATTTGTTGCATAAATGATACAAGAGAAGTCACAAGGCATGAAATGGAGATAATTGACATCGCCATGAGAAGAACTGAAGAAAGACACGCTAAAAAGGAGAACTTTCCACCAGATAGAGCATGTATCTCTCAAATAATACATGTAATCCTGAATCTTGTATCCCCATATCTGGCATACAACTATATCACTTGATTTTTAGTAACTCGTATGATGACTGGGAAATAAAGGTCCTAACAAGCACCTAGAAATTTCCTCCATTAACACAAGGTAGTGATAGGTGGATAACGAGGCATGACAAAAAGGTCTCAAGTTGTTATTATCATGATAAGGTCCAGATGGTTCTATATGCTAATGGAACTACACCGAATCTTCTCGACTGAGAGAAGATAATTAATGCAATTAAAAGGTACAATAAATGCAACCATCATCTCTACAAGGTAGAGTTAAGGTCTGCATACACACTACCATGTTATGTTGTTGTTGTTGCTGT